AATATTTGTGTGCATGTCTTGTGGCAAGACTAACTCTGACATCGAAGCGGTATTTTGGCATCTAGATTGTAGAATCTACCCAAACCTAATTAATTGATTAGACAACGGGTTTTAAAATGGGCAGGCAACCCTCTTCAACAGATTACAATCCAAGTGATGTTGAAAAAGTAGGGAACACAGTTGTAAAAGTACGAGGTTTCCCTTACAAGACAAACATCTGGGGAGATGTTCTCCCTCAGAGGGCCATTAGAATTCTCTTCCCGAGAGAGCAGTAGATGATAGATCTTTGAATTTATTCAAAGCTCAAGAGGTACACTTTTGATAACAATAGAAGTCAAGGGTTATTGGGGGAGGGGGTAGACAGGGAGGTGGATTTGAGCCTACAGCCAGATCAGCCATTGTGGCAGAGAATGTTCATAGGTTGAATGGTCTACTCCTCTTCGTAAATCTGACCTTCCTGTGTTGATGATAAAACAAATCCTATCTTGAGTCAATGTAACTCCCAACGTTAATAAACCAGAATAACATTTCTGATCTAAGTCTCAGCCCCAAAAGCAGGACAGCTTAGTTCTGTTCTATATCTTTTTACTTCCCGGCAAGAGCCACACTCTAAATAAGACTGCAATCTGCACTGTGTCGGGATATTTTTGTGCTCCTGGTCTATAGCCAGCTGAATGTAGTCAAACTGGGCAGCCTTGTCCCATCAGTCAACAGTGAATGGAACATGAATCCCAGCAGAGTTGAGTGTAAGATCTGAACCAGACCACACAGGACAATTAGACCCTATTAGAAAAATGTCTAGAGAGTCAGACAGGGAGGGTAGCATTGCTGAATCATTGAATCTGGGAATTCTTTGCCTATCTGAATCTCCAATACTGGGGAACACCACGCAGGATAGATTTGAGGACACATTAACTTAGAAAATGTGTAAAAATGACAAAGTATATGATCTGTAAGCATAATCTACAGAAATTTTGCACAATACCAACCAGGCATAACATATCAAACTATCATGTTTGAAAAGAAGAGATGGCGGGGGTTGCATAGTCACTTGGTGCATAATTCCACTCTTGGATATAACACGTGGAGGAGAGAGGGAAGACCAAGGGAGGTAAAGAACTCTTCAGAACCGGGGAGGACTGAGTTCCACAGCAGAGTGTAGTGTGAGACAGTTTGGTTTCTAATACTGAAGGAGGTGGAGCATTTACAGCAGAAGATTTGGAGCTAAGAAAATTGTTAAAATTGGGCAGGAACAGAAACAATGGGTAAAGGTCATATATTTGCAAAACTCCTGTACTGCTGATATGTGACAAGTTTACGTGGCATAGTTTTGTGTGATATTTATGCAACAAAACGCATAGTTTGCAAGAAATCTTGGGAATTTTACAATAAGATGTTGCAGCCTTCAACTTCAATCAGATATCTTGTCAATTAAAGTATTTCCTCTCCCAAATGTCCTTCTTTGAAGACAGACCTGACTTCTGCCAAAGACAGTCCCCAGTATCCCTTCAGGATCATCATTCACTGAGTTAGCCCAGAGCACGTACGTACTGCTATGCAATTCCACTGTGAGTTGCATCACACCAAAGCTATTTCGGTATTTCAGTACATGTGACAATAAAATCAAAAACCAAAAATCAAAGCTCAATCCTGTCTTTAATAGATGTCCCCACCTTCCAGCCACTGGAAAATAATCCGGCATTAGTGGCCTTCTTCCAGGTCACACTCACTCTCTGTAGCATGTACACTTTGTCAGAGTTCAGTCAATTCAGCAGGGATCGATGCTGGGATCCTTGTCTGGATTAGCATTCCAACCACATCCAACTCAGGAGGAGGCTGGGAGTCACGGGGTCAGCGTGAGCCAGCTCTTCCTGGAGACTAAAGGAGCAGCAGGTTATAAGTGAACAAAACCGACCTCACAGGCCGCAGGGAAAGGCACTCCAATCCAGTCCTGCAAACAATCAGTTCAAACCTTCCCAGATCCCTGCCTCACCTCCCATGGTGTCCTGGGAGATTCAAACACCAATCAATTGATGGTGATTACAACCACATATCACAAAGTACTGATCAAACACTTATACAAACTTGTTTATTTTTTCAAAATTCTTGGGATATGGGCAGCATTTGTTACCCATCTATAATTGCTCTTGATTGGAGTGGCTTGCTTGACCATTTCAAAGGGCAGTGAAAAGCTGACCACATTGTGTGGTTCTGCAGTCACATGTAAACCAGCTTAGCAGATTTTCCCTCGCTAATGGTCATTAGTGAACCAGGTAGGTTCTTAGAACAATTCATGAGTGTTTCACACTCATCATCACTCAGCCTGAAATCTGGAATTGAAAGCAAGATCCACCAGGTGCCCTGGTAGGATGTGAATCCATGTGCCCACGTTATCATCCTGGGTCTCTAGTCCAGTGACATTCCCAATATGCCATCACCTCACCTGAATATTATCTGCTTTATTTGTAAAGCTGATTAAAATGCATCAATTACCAGCAAAAAACTGTGAATTCTAGAAGCAAGCTGTTCTGTACTGATTTATAGAATCACAGAACCCCTACAGTGTGGAAGCAGGCCATTCAGCCTATTGAGTCCACATCAACCCTCTAACCAGACTCACCCCATCCCTGTAACCCTGCATTTCCCATGGCTAATCCACCTAACCTGTACATCCCTGGATGCTATGGGACAATTTAGTATGGCCAATCCACCTAACGTACACATCTCTGGATACTATGGGACAATTTAGTATAGCCAATCCACCTAACCTACACATCTTTGGACTGTGGGAGGAAACCAGAGCACCTGGAGGAAACCCACGCAGACACGGGGAGAATGTGCAAACTCCACACAGACAGTCACCCACCCAAGGGTGAAATCAAACCTGGATCTCAATGCTGTGGGGCATCAGTGCTAACCACTGAGCAACCATGCCGCCCCAAAATTCAAATCATAACCACCTTCTAGGCTGGGTTTCAAACTCTCTCACATTGCGAACTGATCTTTAGTTACACTTGTCCTTCAGTAAATGCGCCCTCATACTTCCATTTCATACCCATTTACTTATTAAGCCCTGGACATTCGATGCAAGATAGTTAGTGTTGTCATTACCAATTGGGATTAATTGTTAAAAATAATTCATCTTTTTCCCAAAGTAAAGTCACTGCTGCCCACCACCATGTGCTTTACAAGTGGGACCCTCAATTCTGGAGATTGAGCCACCATAAACATTCAACAAATATATAAAGTGCAGATACTGAGAAGTCAGACACCTAGAAGTAAGACTGTAATTCAGATTGATTTAATATAGAATAACAAATACTTAAGAATTAGTTGCAGGCTACAGTTTATCGCTCAGTTGAGAGAGATTTGATGTAGAACAGCAAATACTTGGGACTGAGTTATAGTTTGAAACCTAGTTGAAGGGTTGTGGAAGTTAATATTTAGGACATGAACAAAGGAACAAGCGTAGGCCACTCGGCCCTTCGAGCCTGCTCCCCCATTCAATAAGATCATGGCTGATCTGATTTTAATCTCAACCCTACATTCCTGCATACCCCTGATAATCTTTCACCCCCTTGGTCATGGAGTATCTATCAATCTATATCTGCCTTAAAATTATTTAAAGATTCTGTATCTAATGCCTTTTGGGAAGGGAATTCCAAAGACTCACAATCCTCTGACAGAAAAGTGTTTTCTGTCTTAAATGGGTGACCCCTTATTTCTAAACTATGACACCCTGGTTACAGATCCCTCAGGATCTAATATGTTTCAAATTAAGTCACTTTTGACTCTCTAAACTGCAGAGGATACAGGTCTAGCCTGTCCTTAGAAGGCAAACCCTTCATTCCTGACATCATTCTAGGAAAACCTCTCTGCTTCCAGTGTATTAACATCCTTCTGCAAGTACAGTGATCAGTATTGGACACAGTACTCCAGGTATAGTATCACCAATACACTCCATAACGAAAACAGGACCACCCTACTCCTGTTTTCAATACCCCTCACAATTTATCACAGCATGAATGATTGGATAATGTCTGATATCGAGTTAAAAGATTCAAATATTGTAGAGTGCATCGTGAGGGGCATAGATAGGGTGAATAGAAAAGGTCTTTACCCCACGGTAGCGGAGTCTAAAACTAGACGGCATAAGTTTAAGATGAGGGGGGAAGATTTAAAAGGGACCTAATGGGCAACATTTTCATGCAGAGAGTGGTGAATGTATGGAGTGAGATGCCAGAGGAAGTGGTGAAGGCTGGTACAATTACAACATATAAAAAACACCTGGATTGTTACATGAATAGGAATAGGTTAGAAGGATATGGGACAAATGCAGGCAAATGGGACTAGATTAATTAAGGATATCTGATCGGCATGGAGGGGTTGGATCAAAGGGTCTTTTTCCATGGTGTACACCTCCAGCCAAGAAGTCTGGTTTCAAGTCCCACTTGCTCCAGAGATGTGTAGTAGTACTTGATTGATTAGGAACTTATCTAGCTAGGAGTGAGTTGTGGTTTGGTGGTACTTTCCTATCTCAGTGCCAGAAAGACTGGGATCAAGTCCCAGCTGTCCTGGAGGTGTGTCATAATGTGTCTGAACAGGTTGATTCAAAATATATTTGTACAAGTTGCTCTGACTGCAGGAATGTGCTGGTTTAGATATGGAATAACAGATACCCATGAGTAAGTGACAAGCTGGAAACTAATCAAAGGGCTAAGTAAAGACTGTTTAAAATGATAAAAAGCCTTGTATCAATAGCTCCCAGAATTCCTCCGGTGAATCCATCTTTTTTATAAAATAACGTATGCTGTGGAATCTTTGGGACCAATATATTCCATATTATTATCTGTGTATAATATAAATAACAGTCCATGTTACTTAATACTCACTGAATTTATACAATAAATAACTAACATTCTATACATTATATAACACTTCATTGCATTTACCAATGTAAAATGCACAATAACATGTTACAAGGATTGTCTTGTGGCACAAGTCTGTTAATGTTCAGGATTCAGTCGGTCTCTGTTTCCAGAAGGGACACATTTTTGGACAGTTATGATTAAGGATTGAAGCATCACTCAATGCTACAACAGATCAGGCAGCCAGACCAGCAGAAAACCAGAGCATAGCTAGTCGAAGACTTTGAAAAACACTGGATGACAAAGAACACATGTAATCTCATCAAAAAATGTTAAAATGTGATCCCCCAAGTGTGGGGAGGGAGAGTTATAATCGCCTGGCAGTGCACAGTGTCCTCATTCTCCTGCTTCCATTCCCCCTCTTCCATGTATATTCAGAATGCGAATCGTGGAACAGCCAATTATAAATTTGGATATATGCACTAATTGCAGCTACAAATCTTATGCATTGGTAATGTGGCCATTGAATTGTCCAAGGAAAAGCAGAATTCATGGAGGCTGACCCATGTTCTTTGCCTGGACTGTGGTGCTATATGCTTGGGATCTCTGGTTAGCGAGGGAACTTCATGACTGGTTCACCCTCACAACACTGGCCACCCGATCTGTCCACCTTTGCAAAATCCCACCTTCAGACTGTCACCTACAAAATAGCTCGACTCTTCATTAAGCCCCTGTATGACTCTTCGCTGTTGATCGTCAATTCCCCGAGACCTCAAAACAATCCTTAATACTTGTCAACCTCTGCTTCTTGCAACACACAGGCTGAACCCTTGCTCTTTCTGTTAATGCTGTTTCAGATCATGTGGTGATTTGTTTTGTTAAAAAAAAATACACGACTGATGATAAAAACCACCACATTTAGCTGCCGTTAATCAAAATATACATTGTACAGGTTTTCATTCTCTGTGTCGTCATACGGAACCCAAGTTAAGGCCCAGACACAGATAAATCCTCTTGACCACTTCAAATGGCTGCAGTAACACAGCTGCCTATTACAATCAGCCTCAAACCATTTAGAATCTCAGACAGCTTCCATCAATCGGCACTTTTCTCAAAGTTCGGAGATAAGTCGTTGTACCATCTGTACAGCTTTACTTGTTTTCTGTTGTCTGTTTGGCCTCTGTTTGCTCAGTTGCAGTGATCTCCGGTTCCCAAAGCAGGAACTCATGCAATAATGTGTTCACCGTCTCCGGGCACTCCATCATAACCATATGGCTCCCCTCATCGATGACTTTCAGGAACGCAATCAGCAAGATCTGTTTGGTAAAAGACTGGGTGATTAATCTATTGAACATAGCTTTTAAACAAGTACACTCTCCTTTCCAATCAGCTTCTAGCATCATTGAATCCCTATAGTGCAGATAATAAATCTCTATTATATTATATCTATCATTGATATATATCTATATATATATTGATACAGATCTATTGATAATTATTGTAATTACGACAAGAGCTCCCTCACTCCTGGGCAGATATTCAGCCCATTCAGTTCACAGTGACCCTCCGAACAGCATCCCACCGAAACCCAGCTCCTTACCCCGTCCCTGTAACCCTGCATTGACCATGGCCAATCCACCTAACCTGCATAACTCTGTTCCCAGCGTGGGTTTCACCAGCAAGGCCAGCATTTGTTGTCCATCTCTTACTGCCCATGAACTGCTTGCTTAAGCCATTTCAGAGGGCTCAATGCAACTCAATTAAGTAACAGTCAACCCGATTGCTGTGGGTCTGGAGTCACATGTAGGCCAGACCAGGCAAGGACAGCAGATTCCCCTCCTTAAAGGACATTGGTGACCCAGATGGATACTTACAACAATTAATAGTAGCTTCATGGTCACTATTATGGAGTCTAGTTTTCAACTCCAGATTCATTCGAATTAAATTTAAATTCTGTACTGCCAAGGGTGGGTTTGAGCCCATGGCTCTAGAGCATTGGGATATTGTTGCTACCACTGTGCACTAAGACATTCCACATGCCCCCACCCTACCACGTCAGGTAGATGATTTCTGTTACTTCCTGCCTTCCCCAGTTGGGTGAGTTTCACTGCAGGGTCTAATCAGTGAGCAAAGGGAAGCTTTTGAGTCATGTTCTACAACAAAAGTAAGGGCAGGCCTCCTATTACTCCACTCACATCCCTCCTAGCCCCGCATGCATTCCAGCAGGAGTAGCTACGGAGCTGTCGGGAATTGAATTCCTGACAGATCTCCTAACACTCAAACCCTGGAGCACCATAGGGATCTGTAATGTCCTGCCTTTATAGTACCAACTCCCTCAACAGGATCCCTGGATTCATCTTGGGATCTTCCTGCAAGGTCAGGTCCACACCCAGCAGTGCGTGCGTTGATTTAGTCTCTGGAGTCGTACAAACACAGGAGCGGAGCAGACCACTCAGCCCTTCAAGCCTATTCTGGCATTCAATTAGGCCAGATAACTTGCATTTATATAGCACCTTTGACACGATCACAAAATGTCCCAAATAACATAAACCAGTCAGAGGTTTGACGCTTGGGCTGGTGACTATTAGCTTGATCAAAGAGGACAGCTGCTGGGCTGGAGAGGTTTCAGGAGGCAATTTTAGAGATTTTGGCTGTGACTGCCAATGGTGGAGCACAGGATATGGTGGGATGGGCAAGAGACAGGATCGAGGAACTGCAGAGATCTCAGGAGGTTACAGGGAGAAGGTAAAATCAAGGAGGAGTTTAACATATGCGGAAGAATTTTAAAGTCGCTGTGTTGCTAGACTGGAAGCCAATGTAGGTCAGGGAGTAAAGGAGTGACGGCTAAATGGGACTCGGTGTAAGGCAGGACACGGGACAAGCGAGTTTTGAATGAACTCAAGTTTGTGGAGTGTGGAAGATGAGGGACTTCATTCCAGAGATGTGTGGTTTGTCTTACAGAGAAAGATTGAGTAGTTTAAGGCAGTACTCTCTGGAGTTTAAAAGAATGACAAGAGATCTAATTGAGGGATATAAGATACTAAAGGGGACTGACAATTTAGGAACATGGCAAGGATCCTTCCCATTCTGAGACAATCTAGAACAAGAGGTTATAGTTTTAGGAGAATGGGTGGCATATTTAAAACAGATGTGGAAATCACTACCTCAGAGTGTGATGGACGCTGGTACACTGAAGGAAATCGAAAGATTTTTGATCAGTAATGGGTATGAAGGGCTAAGGAGAGCAGGCAAGAAAGTGGAGTTGAGGCAGAGATATGATCAACCATGGTTGTATTAAATGGCGGAACAGGCTCGAGGGGCTGAATGGCTGACTCCTGCTCCTAGATCTTGTATCCTCATGATAGGTTAGTCAAGGCTGGATGAGGGTTCAGGCAGGAGTGGACACAGGAGACGTCATGGAGATGGATACAGATCATGGTTGATTCTGAGCGTGTGTAAAAATGGAGTTTGTTACCTCAGCCATACGCTGGTCTTCATCCACAGGGACAAACTTGTCGTGCATTCCATGTACCAGCAGGACAGGCACTGTCAGTTCAGCGTGGTAGACTTCATCACCCTCAGGCCAGTACTGCCCACTCATCATCGCCTGCAACACGAAGGAGGTCACCTTGAAGGCATTCCCCTCCTTCAACAACTGTTTCTCTTTCGCCCCCTGTCGGGCAAACGCCGCTCTAAAGAGATGTCAGAAACAAAGCAGAGAAAACACTCATCGATTAATAAACAATACGAGCAAATTTCCCATGGCCTCACCTGTTACAAGGCCAACATCAGAACAGAGAGATTCCAGGAAAGACTAAACCAGCTGGGGGCTCATTTCTTTGAACGTAGAGTGGTGGCCGGGTAGAGGGCTTCAAGTTTATGAAAGGGTTTGATAAGGTAGCTGCAGAGATGTGTCTGTGGAATTCATGACCACAGGCAGCAGTCCATGCCAAAACATTGTCTGATTTTAAGAAGGAATTGGATATAGCTCTTGGAGCTAAAGGGATCAAAGGATATGGGGGAGAACCAGGAAAAGGCGATTGAGTTGGATGATCGGTCATGATCAATGTAAATGTTGTAGTAGACTCAAAGGGCTGAATGGCCTACCCCTGCTCCTATGTAAGAATCATACCAAACCTGAAATGCCAATGGTTTCTCTCAGCACAGACCTGCCGAGTTTCTCCAGCATTCTCTGTGCTTGTTTCAGATTTAGCCAGATTTTGCTTTTATTTGGGAAGTGGTGACCCTCCGAACAGAAGAGTCTGCCATTTTGGACGGAAACCTGGGTCCCAGAGGTAAAAGGTCAGAGTCTAACCCAAAACCCCAGCCAGTTTGGACAGTATTGCCTCGAAACATTCGCTTCTTGTCCTTACTTGAGGAAGCTCCAGACGAGACAGGGCGAAAGGCAGTGTAGGACACAAGTGGGCAGGTTGAAGATGGAGCACAAACTGGGTTCCAGTGCAGTCGGACCTCCTCCATTGATCATCACCACCTTGTGTACTTGATCCGGATACTCATGGGCCAGAAACGTGCAGAATGAGACCCTGAGGAAGAAAGATTCCCAGTAAGATGCCAGGCACACCCTCACCTGACAAGAGACCCCTTCCAGCCTCAAAATTCCCTCTCACCATGTCTACCCTCCTTTTACAGCCCTGCAACATTACTCAAGTTATCATTCCAGAAGAACATGCCCTAGGGTAGTGGGGGACCAGGGTGACCTCGGTGTCCCCCACCATCCTGGCACAACGGGAGACGGAGGGAGATTTCACCAGCAACCAGGGCAGGGGTGGCCTTTGAATACAGGACAGTGACTCCATGTGACCTTTTGCAGAAAGGGGATTAGGGATGTGGCACTGAGTGTGAATTGCCCCAGGGACAGGGAGGACCCTGCTCAATGGGTATTGCCCCAGGGGAGAGGGAGGACCCTGCTCAATGGGTATTGTCCCAGGGGAGAGGGAGGACCCTGCTCAATGGGTATTGCCCCAGGGGGGAGGGAGGA